ACTCTCGTATACACAGGAGCATATCCATGCCAGGTATACAGCAGAGGGAGGTCTGTGTCCGGTAGTCAGCAGGGGCACACGACACGGGTACACAGCAGGAGTTTATCCACACGGGTATAAGGCAGGGGCACGACGACACGGGTATACAGCAGGAGGCCATCGCGCGGGTATACAGCAGGGGCACGACCACACTGGTATACAGCAGGAGCACATCCACGCCGCCGGGTATACAGCAGGGGCACGTCCATGCGGGTACACAGCTGGGCAGCGTGTGATCGCGTGGCGGCGGGACTCATGCAGGTGGCCAGGTGCTCTCCGGGCACGGGGTGACAGGTGGCCCCCGCCCCGCCCCCTGCCTCCCGCCCCGCTCACCCGCCGGCGGAGGGTCTCCCTGAATGCTGTGCGCACCGCCGGAGACGACTCTGCCCACGGGCGGCTGGGGCCAGCGCAGCCCAGCCCACACTCCCAGCGGGCGCGAAACCACAACAACCTGCGTCGTCCCGGCAACACCCCGGTGGCCAACCGGTGGGCGCGGCGGGAGAGCCCGCAGCCAATCGGAGAAGCCGGGGGTGGGGGGAAAGCAGCCGGCCTATCAAGACCAGGGGCGGAGCGCGGGCCCCTGTCAACCGCCGGGGCCCGGCAGGGGCGGAGCCAGGACGGGGAGGGGGCGGGGGCGGGGGCTGCGGTTGGGGGCGGGGCCGCGCTGCTGGAGGTCGCCCAGGTGCTCCACCCCAGGGAGTTTCCACAAAAAACTAGACCGAGATTTGCTTGTCAATCTCCCGTTTATTTAATGCATTTGTAAAACCAGGAGGAATAGGGGCGCCTGGCTGGCTCAGTGGGAAGAGCATGCGACTCTTGATCTCCTGGTTGTGAGCTTGAGCCCCACGTTGGGTGTAGAGATTACTAAAAAAATAAACTTAAAAAAATAAAAATAAATAAGAGGATGAATAAGTGCCTGGGAAAACGGCAAAGAGCCATTTCTGCTAACCGCCTATGGGTAGTGAAATGATCATGTAAAAGTCCTTCCCCATACCTTCTGTGTTTGAGAGAATTCCTGTTTTGCAAATTGAAAGACACTTTTTAAAAAGCCCTTGGCCACGTTTTCGCCGCAGAGCGTTCATGTTTCTGCGGAACACGTGACCCCAGTGCGAACGCCCCGCCTGGATTTGGGGTCTGCACAGGTGCGCGCGCTGGGACTGACTCGGTGGCGACAAGGTAATTCTTGTGACCGGAACTAACCCTGAGTGCGGTTCACCAGCTCTCAGGTAATGTTGTGATGAATTTTCAGGGTGTGCAGCCCGCCCGGTCATGCGGGTAATCCAGACTTGGCGTTGCGTTGTCACATGTTTGCTCCACTGTGCGCAGAGACCAAGAGTGACAGGGGCTTCCTTTTACTTGTCACAGCATCGTGTGCCGAGGGGATTGTAGGGCCAAGAGAAGGTTGTTTTTGAGAGTAGTTGATCGTAGTACGCCTGAAACGAATTCAACACTGTCTGTTAACTACCCTGGAACTAAAAATTTTAAAGTTTTAGAAATAGGCGTGCCGGGGGTCTCAGGGTGTTAAGCACCTGACTTCTGCTCAGGTCATGATCTTGCAGTTTGTGGGTTCAAGCGTCTCAGAGCCTGGACAGCTCAGAGCCTGGAGCCTGATGCAGATTCTGTGTCTCTCTCTCTCTCTGCCCCTCCCCTGCTTGTGCTCTGTCTCTCTCTCTCAAAAATAAACATTAAAGAGCAAAAAAATAAATATATATATATATAAATAAAAAATTTAAAAATAACCAATAGATAAGTAAGTAAATAATAGTTGATCCTAGTAACTGCAGGGGTCCTGACTAGCCAGTATCTTTGTCTGTTTAAAATTTTTTTAATGTTTATTTATTTTTGAGAGAGAGAGAGACAGAGACAGAGCATGAGTGGGGGAGGGGCAGAGAGAGATGGAGACACAGAATCCGAAGCAGGCTCCAGGCTCTGAGCTGTCAGCACAGAGCCAATGCAGGGCTCGAACTCACAGTGAGATCATGACCTGAACCGAAGTCGGACGCCCAAGTGACTAAGCCACCCAGGTGTCCCAAGTTGTATTATTATATAGTCTATCAGAAACCAATGTTTAGAACAAGAGTTGTAGGGTTTTCTTTTGTATCTCAAAATGAGATGAATTTTTTTTAATTTCTTTTTTTTAGCATTTATTAGTTTTTGAGAGACAGAGAGAGAGAGAGTGAAAGCAGGGGAGAGGGGCCGAGAGAGAGGGAGACACAGAATCCGAAGCAGGCTCCAGGCTCCAAGCTGACTGTCAGCACAGAGCCCGACATGGGGCTCGAACCCATGAACCGTGAGATCATGAGCAGAGCCACCCAGGTGCCCAAGAGATGAATTTTTTTTTATAATAATGTAGTATTTTGCTTCCTTGCCTCATTCCGGGGAGTAGAATGGGTCCTAGTCATTTTAAGAAATACATCAATGTGCCGGCTTCACTTGCAAGGTTTCCAAGGCATGTGCCTGATGGTTAGATCCCAGTCGGGAAGGGGCATCACTGAGGGTGATGAAGACATTGGCATCATTGAGCGTGATGGCAAAGACCAACCATGTGTCATGTCCCACCCTGACCCTGCACCCAAGTTCATATGTTGAAACCTCACCCCCAGTGTGATGTTGTTTGGGGGGGTGGGGCCTGGGGGGGGTGACCAGGTCAGGAATGGGGTGATTGTCACGCCGTGGTTTCATGTTTCTTGAGTTTGAGCCCTACATCGGGCTCTGCACTGTCAGCAGAGAGCCTGCTTGGGGTCCCCTCTCTCTCCTTCTCTGTCTGCCCCTCCCCTGCTCGAGCTCTCTCATTCTCTCAATAGTAAATAAACATCAGAAAAAAAAAAAAGCTGAGAAAGGTCATTTAAGTTGAAATCATACACACACCGTTATGTTATTCAAGGATACATATTTGTGTGATAACATTTTTAGAACCACATGGGAATTGTGCATAGCAGGGTCCAGATGGTGGTCACCCGTGGGAAGGAATGGAGAGGCGTGCGATTGGGGAGTGATGTTTTGGGGTCTCCCATTGTGTTTGCGGTATTTCACTTGGGAAAAACTCTTGAAGCAAACACAGCAGATTCCTGATTTGTGGCGGCAGAGAGGAGGGTACAGGGGGACCTTAGCACGACACGGGCTGCTCGGAAGGCATCGCAGTAAAGCACGTACATGTCGCTCAGGAGGACCCAGTGACGGGTGGGGTGTGGCTGCAGGTGCACCAGCTGACCCGGCCATTAGGCCATTATGATGTGTCACAGAAGGTGATGTAACAGGAGAGTGTTCAGCATTTCTACATTTGCTCACTCACGGTGTCTCCCTCCAAGGTGTCTTACCCGGGATGTAAGACAAGAAACGGAGCAAAACCCTCTCCGTAGAGCGTCATGCTGTCCGTAAAGTAGGAAAGAGCCAGCGAACGCCGTCCTTCCTTCCCCCGGCTCCCTGCCACCTCGTGGGGGGAAATGAGCGGAAGGCCGAAGCCAAGAAGGGGGGCCAGGTTTTTTAGAGGTCATTCTGAAGAAGCCAGCGTCAGCGGTGGACTCAGTGATGTGCTCCGGGGGCACGGACGACCTGACTTCAGTGGGTATGCAACTGAATGATTGCACCTTTGCAGAATGATTTCCACGAGGTCTTATGTTCCACATCCCACGTGCCAGGCGTACTCTGTTTACTAGGAAAATAACCCAGCAAAACTCGTGTCCTTTTTAGAGAGAGGCCTTTCCAAAGGTCTCCTCTGTAGGTTTCTCTAGACCACAGGACTTCCCGTGGGATGCTGGGTCCATGCTACGCAGGAGTTACTTTGATTCCATACAGCCAACTGGGGACAAGGGTTGTGAACGAGAAGCCATTGTTTTAGAAGAATGAACCAGGGGCTCCTGGGTGGTTCACTTGGTTGAGCATCTGACTCTTGATTTCATCTCGGGTCATGATCTCACGGTTTGTGGGTTGGAACCCCGCATCGGGCTCTGCGCTGACCATGTGGATCCTGCTTGGGATCCTCTCTCTCCCTCTCTCTCTGTCCCTCCCCTACGCGTGCTCTCTCTCTCTCTCTCTCTCTCAAAATAAATACACTTTAAAAAAAAAACAAAAGAATGAGCCATAGGAGCAGCAAGGTTAGTATTTTAGTTTATGAACTTAGAGATGATTCCTGTTTTTGCCTAGCTGGTCCATTCTCTGGATGGACCATTCACTTAGCACCGCGGTTTAGGACCCCAGACACAGAGCACGTTTATTCCATCCTTAGGTAAGACGTGACCGCACGGCTAGGGGGCAAGCATTTTAAGCCCAATAACTGTGTCCTCACAGGAAGAGGCAACAGGGAAGCTGTGCCCACTTGGGTAAGCCAAGACCCAAGCCCCCTTACCTGCCCCTTGTGCACTGCCTGCGGGGGTGGGGCAGGGGGAGCAGAAATGAAAAGGAACAAAGCGGCCGTGCCAGCGGTAACAGCAGAGCCCTTGCACAGGAACAAACCTGTCAGTGAAAATGAGGCAGGGCCACAAAGTCATGATACAAGAAGCCAGCACATGACAGTTACACCGAAAGGTAGCAAAGCACCCTCGCTCCCGCGCCCCGCAGATGGCAGGGCTCCGCAGGCCAGGAAAGGCAGCCAAGGGGCTTTGGAAAGCAGAGTCTCACAGCCAGGATGGTAACGAAACACATAATTAACCTTTGGCGAATGTGGTAACGTGGTCCTTTTCATTCAATTCAGCCCATCAGGCGGGCTCACCTGAGCTGTAAATCCATCTTTGAATGATTCTTTGGGCAGTGGACCCCCCACATGACCGATGAGTGATATTGAAAGAGGAGGTGGTTTCAAAATACACTTCCCTGGGGGCGCCTGGGTGGTTCAGTCGGTTAAGCATCTAACTCTTGATTTCGGCTCAGGTCGTGATCTCACGGTTCCTGAGTTTGAGCCTCGTGTCGGGCTCTGCGTTGACAGTGCAGAGCCTGCTTGGGATTCTCTCTCTCTCTCTCTCTCTCAATCTGTCAAAATAAATAAATAATCATTTTTTTTTTTTTTTAATTTACAAAAAAAGATGCGCTCTCCAGGAGGGAAAGGAGTTGGGAAAACCTTCTGGGTTGGGGGGGCACAGTCTAACCGCCCTGGATAGCCAATAAGCAGGGCTGGTATTTGCAGAGAAATAAGGTATCAAAGACCCTACCCTGGGGGGAGTTGGCTGGCTTGTTCTAGTCTCTCCTGCGGTATTTGAGTGGATCTGAGCTGCTCCTGACAGCACAGCTCAGGACCAGATCGCTGACAGGGTGAGTCGGTACATCGCTTAAATGGTCACCAGACTCACCCAAAATTAGCACAGGTTTACTGTCATTTGTGCATAAAGTTAAAGAAAGAGCAAGGACACCTGGGTGGCTCAGTTGGTTAAGCAGCCGACTTTGGCTCAGGTCATGATCTCGAGGTTCCTGAGTTTGAGCCCCACGTTGGGCTCTGTGCTGACAGTCAGCTTGGAGCCTGGAGCCTCCTTCGGATTCTGTGTCTCCCTCTCTCTCTGCCCCTCCTCCTCTCCTTCTACGTGCAGACGACACAGATAACCCTTTCTACTTTCTTCTGTGTTAGTATCTAGGCACACGTGGAAAGGTCCAGACATACACAAGACGTAAAAACCAGCGTAACCGTAACATGTGTGAAAGTGAGGGATGTGGATATCTGTTCAAGTATGTTGATATACCATCCCGGAAATTTTTTTATCCCTCAATTCCTGAGATTGGATTAGGAACTGAATTAGTTCGCAAGACTCAACCTAGAATAAGCACATTTGTGGACTTGGTTGTGGTGGTTAGTTTCGAGTTCAAGTTACAGGTTAGTGGGTCTCTACCGTTAAGTTCTGTTTGTTTTTCTCCTTTCTAGGTTAACCCAGTCATGGAAGATTGTCATAAGCACAGTGTCCATGGTGACCCTTCTTCTTATAGGTAAGTCTTACTAAGTAATCGTCCTGAAAGCCAGGTCACGGGACGTTTCTGTGTGGGGAGGGTGACCTCGGTGGAATGACTCATGTTTGTAAAGAAATGCCAAAGAAAGTCCTGGAAGTAAGTAAATGCTACAGATAAATGTGCAACAAAGACATCATCCCAGGGGTGAAGAAATGGCTGAACGTGCAGTTTGCAGCTTTCAGACTGAGAGTATCATGCATCACGACCCCTGGTGCACTGGAAAATTGCTCTTTGACAACTTTCTTTGGCATTTCAAGACAACTTGAACCACGGGAAAATCAAGGTTCCAACCCAGTTATTGCCGGGATTGCTATCTTATGACATGGCAGGATGCTGGGTGCCATTTTGTCATCATTGCATGTGGCTTCCTGGATGGCTGGGCTGTCCTGATGCTGTGCCTGCCTGAGGTCCAAGCTCCTTCTCTTGGTTGCGTTTTCACGCACCTGCTGTGCCCCGCCCAGCTCCGCAGACCTCTATGTAGACCGAACCCTGAATATTCTGGTTCTTCTGGGAACCGCTCCCTGGAAGCTTTGCTGCTTGTCCCCATCACTGCTGCCCTGGGGCCATTCCACTCAGCTGGACATCCCCACCTTGCTGCAGTGGGATGTAGGCGACATTTCCCCAGGCACGACCCCAGACCACATGAAGGGAAGTGTCACGAGTGCTTGGTGTGGGCAGCAGAGATGTCTGCACTCAGGGTTTTCCGCATCTGGGAAATTGTACCCCACATTCTTGTGACATCCTTTGAGATGGAAATCCATGCATCTTCACAGCAGATGCCAGCTGCTTCTTTGTATGTCCCCACTGCAGTCTTGCACCTTGCCCACCAATGTTGCAGACCCATCTTAGATGCCACGGATGTAAGTGGTTTCGGTGGACTTAACCGGACTTGGGTTCTCTTTCTTTTTGTGGAGCTGAAATCCTCCGGATGTGAAATTAACCATCATAATGTGAGAAGTTCAGTGGCTGTCTCGGGGCTGTGCAGCCACCACTCTTAATTTGTGGACATTTTCACCACCCCAAAAGGAAGCCCGTGCCCACTGACCGCTTGGCCCCCCCCCCCGTTTTCCCTCTCCCAGCCCTGGCAACACTACTCTTCTCTCTGTCTGTGGATTTCGTGTTCTGAATATAAACAGAATTACACAACATGTGACCTTCTTGTCTGGCTTCTGTCATTAAACCTGATGTTTTTCAGGTTCATCCACATTGTAGACAAGTCAGTATTTCATTCCTTTTTGTGGCTGAATCATATTCCACCGTGTGGATAGACCGCAGTCTAGTCGACTATTAATGGGCCAGGATTGTGTCCCCCTTTTGGCTGTTGTGGGCAGTGTGGCTCTGAACATATGTGCATGTGTACTTGTCTGAATCCCTGGTTTCAATTTTTGGGGGTGCTTGCCTTCTGGTAACTTGCTGGGGAGGAGCTGCCTAACTGTCTTCCACAGCAGGTGCACCATTTCACAATCCCACCAGCCGCACATGACTGTCCTGCTCCCCCCACATCCTTGTCAACACTTGTTGTTCTCTGGTTTCTGGAGCAAAGCCATCTTGGTGAATGTGAAGCGCTTTTGTGGTTTTGGTTTATATTTCCTGAATGACTAATGCCTTTTCATGTGCTTCTTTGTCATCCATACATCTTCTTTGGAGAGATATCTACTCAAGTCCTTGGCCCATTTTGTGATTGGGTCCTTTGTCTCTTGGATGATGAGTTGTAAGTGTTCTTTATATATTCTGGCTACTAGACCCTTCTCAGATATGTGATTTGCAAATATTTCCCTTCATTCTCTTGGTTGTCCTTTTGCCTTTTACATAATGTCCCTTTAAAAAAAAATGTGTGTTTATTTTGAGAGAGAGAGAACTTGAGCAGGGGAGGGGCAGACAGAGAGAGAGAAACCAAGAGTCAGATGCTCAATCTGCTGAGCCACCCAGGCACCCCTTAACAATAGGAAGTGTTCTGACCCATGAACATGGGTTGTTTTAACACTTATATCTTTGTTCATTTCTTCTAGCAATGTTTTATAGTTTTCAGTGTGGGTTGGAGAATGAATCTCTTGTAAGCAGTATATAGTTGGACAGTGTTTTCAAATCTATTTTGCGAGTCTCTGACTTTTGACTGGAGAGTTTAACCCATTTACATGTATGGGGGATAAGCTTCAGAATTCCCTGAGCCTGCACTGATGGGTTAACAAGGCATAAAGAATTACAAACCTATAGGATGCTCACACCCAAGTTTGGGTAAACGAGATTAGGTAAATAGGTATAGAGAGGGCGGGGCAAACACCCCAATATAGAACAAAGGTATACAAGGTAACCAAGGGCAGAAGTCCCCCCCCCCCCACTTAGTACTAGAGCAGAAAGCTGCTTTCACAGGAAGGAAGGACCAAATTAGGTAAACAGGTAAACCGGGCTATGTGTGATGCCACCCTGAGCGGAGCTAATTAACAAAAGAAAGGTGCTTGTTGACTCATCAGTGCAGGCTCAGGGAACTCCGAAGCTTATTTGTAAAGTAATTACTGATAAGGAAGGATTTCTACCATTTTGCCAGTTTTTTCTCTGTCTTATACCTTCTCTGTTCCTCATTCCATCCATTATTGCCTTCTGTGTTTAATTGATTTTTTGTAGTTGACTGTGTGTGTGTGTGTGTGTGTGTGTGTGTGTGTGTGTGTGTGTGTTTTAAGTAGGCTTCATGCCCAGCGCAGAGCCCAACATGGAGTTTGAACTCATGACACTGAGATCAAGACCTGAGCTGTGGGATCAGGAGTTGGACGCTTAACAGACTGAGCCACCCGGGCACCCCTGTAGCGTGCTGTTTTGATCCTCATTTCGTTTTGTGTACATTTTTTTAGATATTTTCTTAGTGGTCACCCTGGAGATCACAGCGAATGTTCTCAATCGGTGGCAATAAAGCTTCAATTGATAGCCACTTGGCTTCAACAGCATATAAGTACTCTGCTTGTTCAACTTTCTCCCTCCCTCCTTCGTGTTATTGTCAAAAATTAATTCTTTGTACACTGTGTACCCATTTATCTTTTTAACCGTGTCAAAATTAAAAACAAGAGTTACAGCGCAAGACTACCGTAACCCTGGCTTTTATGTTTACTCATGTAGTTAGCTTTCCCGGAAACACTGATTTCTTCATATGACATTTCCTCTGTCGTGTCTGTTTTCACTTTGGCCGGAGAGACTCCCTCCAGCATTTCTTGTAGGGCAGATATTCTGGCAAGAGCTCCTTCAGCTTTTATTTACCTGGGAACGCCTTAACTTCCTCTCTAATTTGTTGTTTGCGTGTTTGTTTGTTTGTGTTTTTTAAAAAGTTATTTATTATTTTTGAGAGAGAGCAAGTTGGGGAGGGGCAGAGAGAGAGGGAGACATGGAATCTGAAGCAGGATCTGACAGCTCAGAGCCTGACGTGGGGCTGGGACTCACAAAACGTGAGATCATGACCTGAGCCTAGGTCAGATGCTTAAATGACTGAGCCTCCACAGGTTTCCTCTCCATCTTGAAGGGTAGTTTTGCTGGATGGAGGAGATCTCGGTTGGCGGTTTTCTTTTTCCTTTCCGCACGTTAAATATGCCCCTGCCTGGTTGCCGTGGTTTTTGCTGAGAAATGTGATGATCCTCTTATTGAGGGTTCCTTGTACATCGCAAGTAGTGTGCGTTCAAGATTCTCTGCCTTTGACTTTGGACTGACTCATTATAGCGTGTCTTGGTGCGGTGCGTCGTTGAGTTTATCCTAGTTAGAGTTTGTTGAGTTTCTTGAATGTGTAGATTTATGCTTTTCATCGAACTGGGGAGTTTTCAGCTGTTATATCTTCCCGTCTTCTTTCTGTCCCTGTGTCTCGTGACTGTTCTGGAACTCTGGAAGTCTATATGCATATGTATGAGGGTGTCCTGCGGGGCTCCTAGGCTCTGGTTTCTGTATTCTTGTTTCCCCGCTGCTGCTCCTCAGGCTCCGTGACTCCGATCATCTGATCCTGATCCTTGAGCCCATTGATTCTTTCTTCCACCTGCTCAAGGCTGTCGAGCCCTCCGGTGAATTGTTCATTTCAGTTATTGTGCTTTTTAGCTCCAGAACTTATATTTGGTTCCCTTTATAATTTTTCTGTCGTTATTCTCATTTCATTCATGTATCATTTCTTTGGATTTCTTTCATTCTTTGTCCTGGATTTCCTTTAGTTTTTTTAGCATATTTAAGACCGTTGATTTGAAGGTTTTATTTAGTAACTCCAAAAAGTCCAACATTTGGACTTTCTTAGGGATGGCTTCGGTCATTTTTTTTCCCATTGGCTGGACTTGTGTGTTTCTTCGTGTGCCTTGTAGTTTTGTGTTGGAAACTGGACATTTCAGTATTTCATTATTTTTATTGTTTTAAGTTTATTTATTTATTTATTTAAAAAAAGTTTTTTAATGTTTATTTATTTTTGACAGAGAGAGTGTGAGATGGAGCATGAGCGGGGGAGGGGCAGAGAGAGAGGGAGACACAGAGTCTGAAACAGGCTCCAGGCTCTGAGTTGTCAGCACAGAGCCCGACGCAGGGCTTGAACTCACAGACCGTGAGATCATGACCTGAGCCGAAGTCGGACGCTCAACCGACTGAACCACCCAGGCACCCCTATTTATTTATTTTGAGAGAGAGAGGACAGAGACAGACAGAGTGAGAGTGCGTGCACACCCAATATCAGGGGAGGGACAGAGAGAGAGAGAGAGAGAGAGAGAAGGAGAGAGAGAGAATCCCAAGCAGGGTCCATGCCATCAGCATAGACCCTGATGTGGCTCAAACTCTCGAACTGTGAGATCATGACCTGAGCTGAAATCGAGTTGGACACTCAACTGACTGAGCCCCGAGGCGCTCAAAATTTTAATGTGGTGACTCAGGAGTCAGATGTCCCCCCATTCCCCAAGGATTGTTGTTATTCCTTGTTGGGGGTCATGGCCATTGGCTTAGTGATGGTCGCTGTTTGGTATCTCAGGGGACAATGAGTGACGTGACACAGTTCCTGGAGTCACTGAGAGACAGCGCGAGGAGGGCCCTCCATGCCTCGATCCTGTGGCTCTAAGCTGGGGCGCTCTCTCAGTACGCCGATCCCCCACACTGCCGGCTTAGCCGTCACCTCCTGCTCACACAGAGCCCGCAGGGCCACCAGAGGTGCAAGTGTGGGATCGTGTCTACGGTCTGTCCTAAACATGTGTTCCGTGCTGGACGTGCACGGTGCTGCACCTTTTCCCTTCCAAGCCCTTATTCCCACAAGAGACTGCCTCCTCTCACTTCTCCCTCCCACACTCTTGGGTCTGTCTGTCTGTCACTTGTCCCATTCACCATCCCTTTCCCAGGTGGGCAAGGCCAGTTTATGTCCTTAAATCTTTTAACAGACATCACAGCCTACCAGAAACCCCTTCTAGCCCAAGGAAGCAGGAACGCCAGGCAGGTCAGAACTCACCGTCTGTTTTAAGAACAAATCGGTATTAGTTGTCCCTCCCACCCCCCAGGAATGTTCCCTGCCATCCTGCAGCCCTGCCCTCATGCTGGGGAATGGAGGGTGGCAGGCAGGGGAGCGGAAGTCCCACACTGCCCCTTAACAAAAATAATCTGCTTTTTTCTTCAGTCCTCTAGTTGCTTTAAGTTTGGGATTAGATTTCGGAGTCCAAAAATTGTTGGTCCTGTTTGCCTTTGCCAGTATCTGGACACTTCAAGGGAGAACTGATTTTGTGAAGCACCCAATATTGCCATTTTCCATACTGTCACCCAAGTATCTGATATTCTTTTTATTTTTTTTAATGTTGATTTATTTATTTATTTTTGCACGTGGGAGAGAGAGAGAGAGAGAGAGAGCGTGAGCTCACACACACAAGCACGGGGCAGGGGGCGGGCAAAGAGAGAGAGAAAGAGAATCCCAAGCAGGCTCCGCACTGTCAGCACAGAGCCTGATGTGGGGCTTGAACCCATGAACTATGAAATCATAACCTGAGCCAAAACTAAGAGTTGGACGCTTAACCAACTGAGCCACCCAGGGGCCCCCAATATTCTTTTTAACATTGTATGTATCCTTCACACTTAGAGAAATTCCTATAAATACGTGCAAAACATCATAAATGTTTGCAAACTCTTTAATCAGAGTTGGTATTTTCTTTAACAGGGCTTGGGAATCACATGTGGCTGAAAGAAACGGAGTTTCCTCAGAAATCCAGTCACTTTTATGCTCTAATTGCAGAATGCGGTTCCAGACTTTATAATTACCAGGTGATCTTTTGTTAAGTCATTTTGTATGTCACTCGTTTAAAACTTAGTACGCCAGATTAGATATTCACATGCAAACAAAGGTAACATTTGTTTTGCATGTGAATATCTAATGGAAATAACATAGGGATCAACGTTCTAGTAAGTGGCTTTCTGGCTGAGAGACCCTGCAAATTCGCCCAGCCTCTGATCCCCTCGGGCTCTTGCCATAGACTGAATGTTTGTGACCTCTGGTCCGCCCTGTTTCTTCCCGTCTGCAATGAGGTGTCTATCCTGTGCCTGTCCCATTGCTGATTTCACACAGAACACGTTTGATTCCACAGTTTCACAGCTGGAAGGAAATTTGCTTCTAGGATCTCTGACTTAGATGCTATTTTGATGAGGCTGTGAACTTTGTTTTTTATTTATTTTTTTAAATTTTTTTTTAGTTTATTTTTTTTGAGACAGAGAGGGACACAGCATGAGCAGGGCAGGGGCAGAGATAGAGGGAGACACAGAATGTGAAGCAGGCTCCAGGCTCTGAGCTGTCCGCACAGAGCCCGACGCGGGGCTCGAACTCACGAACTGTGAGATCATGACCTGAGCCGAAGTCGGACGACTGAGCCACCCAAGCGCCCTGAGGCTGTGAACTTTAGACTTTTCAGTTCAGGCTGGAATGAACTAAGACTTTGGAGACTATTGGGACAGAACAGACGTATTTTGCACCCGCAAAGGACATTCATTTGGGATGCCGGGTCAGAATGCCACAGACTGAGTGCTCCCTCCCAGTTGAAACCCAAGCCCCAGGTACGTGGAGGAGGGGCCTTTGGCCTTTGGGTGAGGCCATGGGGAGACCCCAGACCGCTCCCAGACCGTCGCTCCACCATGTGAGGACACAGCAAGGAGACGCTAAGAACCAGGAAGTAGTTCTCACCAGACGCTCAGTCTGCCGGCCTTGAACTCAGACGTCCAGCCTCCAGGACCGTGAGAAATCGGTGTCCGTTGTTCATCAGCCCCCAGTGTCCAGGGTGTTCTGTCACAACACCTGAGCTAAGGCAGCTCCTCAGGGGAAGCCCCAGCACGTAGAAAATGGCAAATCATGTTAGCCACTGCCTGACACTCTAGATGGGCCAGCCTCCCCTTTGTCCCGAAGCCAGTTTGATCTCAGTGGGCTTAGACTGAGGCCAGACACGGGTGTCCCCTCTCTGGCCCACCCGCCTCTGCCTCTCCTGCATTCCAGCCCGGGTCTCGCCAACCCCACGCGCTGGTCTCCAAAGACCAGAGCAGAGAAGAATGACAGGAGCCGGGTGAGCCACTGCTCCGCGGAAAGAAGGCCAGACCGACGGACTCCACCCCGTCAGTGACCTTGCACCTGATTTCGTGGCCACTTCCCTTGGAGACCCCGTTTCCCGGCTCAGCCAGCAGCCGCTGGAGCCCAGTGTGTCTGGTCGTGTGGGGTCCCTACACGGGGAGAGGGTGCTGGTTGGGTCCCCTCCGCATTCCAACCCAGTGAGGGCCGTTCCCTGGGAAGTTCATAGGTTGAAACCTGGAATCGCTCCCAGTCGCAAGGAAGCTACCTTTCTGCAAACACTGAGGATCTGTGTATCCTGGGTGCCTGGGTCCGGATGAAAGAACACAAGGAAACCTCACAAGGAAGGCCAGCCTGAGGAATCCCCTCTACCACGTGGTCCTCACATCAAAGACCAGGATCCCAGGGGCTCCTGGGTGGCTCAGTCGGTTGGGTGTCCGACTTCGACTCAGGTCATGATCTCACGGTTCGTGGGTTCGAGCCCCGCGTTGGGCTCCGTGCTGACAGCTTGGAGCCTGGAGCCTGCTTCAGATTCTGTGTCTCCCTCTCTCTCTGCCTCTCCCCTGCTCACACTCTGTTTCTCTCTGTCTCTCAACAATAAATAGTAAACATTAAAAAATTAAAAACTGGAACTGGGGCCAGATAGTCAGGTTATCACCAGGGAACAGAGATGAGAATTTGGCGTGGACAACAGAGAATTCAGCGGTTACTGCCAATTTGGGATTAACTCCTATTTCGATGGCTAATTCTGTGGGTCAACTTCGCTAGGCTATGTGCCCAGATGTTTGACCAAACACTAGTCTAGATGTTGTTGTGAAGGTATTTTTTGATGTGATTAACATCAAGCTGACAGGCTGTGAGTAAAGCAAATTATCCTCCATCATGTGGGTGGGCCACACCCAACCAGTTGAAGGTCTTAAGAGAAAAAGGAAGAAATTCTGTCTCCAAACAGCCTTCAGACTTGAGCTACAATATGAGCCCTTCTCTGGGCCTCCAGGATGCCAACCTCCCCTGCAGATGCTAGACTTGCCAGCCTCCCCAATTGTGTGTCTTTCCCTCTCTCTCCTGACCCTGGTTCTGTTTCTCTGGAGAACCCGGCCTCATACACTCAAATTCCCCTGGCAGTTTCTGCCAGGGCTTTGCCTGTGGTGTTCTGCCCAGGTCTTGCAGGGGGGGTCTCCTCTCTGACTTTCCAGCCCAGCCCAAGTGTCCTCTCCTCAGAGAGCCTTCTGCGGCCAGCTAGACTGCCCATGAACTTGCCCTGCACATCCCAGCCTCCACTTTGCCGTGGATGCTTGGTTGACTTGCAGAGCCTCTTCCTGCCCCTCCGATCCTCCTACTGGAAGGTAACAAGCAAGAAGCTTGTCCAGAGCCTAACGTGGTCCCCAGCCACACAGGGGGCTCACTAGATACCAACACGAAAAATGAAGGTCTCTTTTCAAAAGACATTCTTCCCTTCCGCGTCTCAGTTTGGAGGCAGACAGCACACCCAGCAGCGCCTTCCCCCTAAAAGTGCCTCCGGCTGAGCACCTAGAGCGTGTGCCTCATGAGGACAGGGTTTCTCTATGGTCACACTATTGACCAGTGTTACCTTGTCTTACACACAGGAGAAAGCCCTGTTAGAAATCGCATGACACTGACTGGGGCTTATTTCTGGGTGACTACTTTCTATGTTTATTTATTTTTGAGAGAGAGAGATAACCAGCCCGGGAGGGGCAGAGGGGGAGGGGGACACAGAATCCCAAGCAGGCTCCATGCTGGCAGCGTGGAGCCCGATACGGGGCTCGAACTCACCAACCATGAGATTATGACTTGAGCCGAGATCAAGAGTCGGACACTTAACTGACTGAGCCACCCAGGCACCCCTGGGTGACTTCTTTTTGGATCCTAAGCTGTGGACCATAGAATCTGCTTTTATTCAATTAATGATAGACTTTATACAACGTTCCCTTCTCTCTAGATACCATGTTATAATGGCATTTTATGTCTGCCTAATTTCCAGTGACTATATCTGAATAAATATGTGAAAAACAATCTCATATTCAATAATACATATTTCCGGACAATTGAATTGTTTGCAGTTTTTCGATATTATGAACATCCCCGTTGCCAAATCTTTCCAACCGTGCTTAATTTCTTACTTAGGATAAACTCCTGAAAGACAGATAAACGATTCACAGTTTTTTTAGTGACCTTTTTATTTTGAATCTTAATAACTTGATAGTGCTTTTCAAACACTGGATATGCCTCCAGGAAACTGGATTGGAACAGTTGAGGGAATTAATTGTATGTGTCACATTGTGTGTGTGCCTATAGTAGGAGCCAGCTGAAACCCTTTGGGGGAGAAGCCAAAATAAAATATGTATTTTTTTAATCCTGAGACGTTTAGTTTTCAAGGAACCCCCAAACACATTTAGCAGCAAATAAATGAGGGAGTATTTTCTGTATGGATATTTTTAAGTTTATTTATTTATTTTTCGCGGGGAAGAGAGGCAGAGACAGAGAATCCCAGGCAGGCTCCATGCTGTCGTGGGGCTCGAACTCACGAACCGTGAGATCATGACCTGAGCCAAAACCAAGAGTCAGGCGCTTAACCGACTGAGCCACCCGGGCACTCCTGTATGGACTTTTAAGGCCAAAGGTGAAAACAAGAGATTAAAGTTGAAAACATTTCCCGTACTGACAGAAACCAGAAAACTAGAAATAAATGTCTCTCCCTGCCCAAAATCAGCCCCCAAATCCACGTCCCTGGCAAGGGAAACATGTTGAGGGGAGCCTACAGGGAATTAAATTGCTCAGCAGGTTAAAAACATACAAACGGCGGTGGGGGCGGGGGTCATCTTTTCCGGATGCCACACCGTGCTGCTTTTGGCCCCGCGGTCCTCAGAGGGGACCCTCCGATGGGATGCCCTCCGTGCCTGCGCTGTTTTTCCGCAGAGCCAGCTTGGAGGAGGTCAGGTCTTTGAGACAGAGAAGCAGTAACAGCAGAGAAGGAAGGGGAACCGTTGCCCAGACAGCGCATCGACGGTCACTGCGGCGGGTTGAAAGGTGACCCCCGAAGGCCAGTCCCGCAGCCTGAGAATCTGTGAGCGTGACCTCAATTTGGAAAGAGTCTCCTCAGACACACTTAGGGATCCTGGATTTCCCAACCGGGCCCTTGACCCAGGGACAGGTGTCCCTGAAGAGGCGCCTGGTGGAAAAGGCCTGGGCGCCGGGCAGAGACTGGGTGAGGCAGCTCCACGCCGGGGAGCCGGGAGCCACCAGACCCCAGAAAGACCAGGAGGCAGAGGGTCCCTCCCGCCCAGCTTCAGAGGGAAGCACGGCCCTGCCGGCACCTTGATTTGACTTCTTGCCTCCAAAACCAAGAGAGCACCTGTCTACTGTTGGAGGCTGCTGGGTTTGCAGTCATTTGTAGGCGGGCCTGGAAGCCACGGGGCCGCATCATCCGTGCAAACAGGAGATTGTCCTGTTCAGACACCTGTCAGCCTAGATCAATGTCCGCGCTTCTTCCGATGATCGATGATCGGGTCCCTCCTGTAGAAAGGGGATGCCCCTCACTGTTTACAAGGACAGCCTAAGGCCGCAGCATGGCCCTCCGCCCCCCTCTCTCCCTCTTTCTCGCCTCCCCACTCCTTGGGCCCGGCCCCGGTCCCCCCGCCGCCCCCCGCCCGTTCTGTGTCCTCACGGACAGCCTCTTGGACTCCAGTACAACAGACTCCCCACTTTCAGATCATCTCCCCTGAACGTGACTTTTCCAAGGAAAGGCTGGAAAGGACGCAGGTGTCTCAGAGGACACTCAGCGTCCCACCTGCCATGCATGTGTATCAGGGTGGAAATGTGATTTCTCTCCCCTTTACGAATAAGAAGACTAACTCTATTCAGACAGGCAGGACTGGGACTGATTTGGTTTCTTTGTTTGTTTGTTTTCCAGGCCAGACTTCGTATGCCAAAGGAGCACCTGGAGCTTTTAAAGTGAGTGAGATTTTTCTGCCACGCGGGGCTTTCTGGCGGGACTGCAGCAGCAGGATGTTTTCGTAAAACTATAAAAATGAAATCATTCATGCTTCTGTGGGTCATTCTTTTTTTTCGGTTTATTTATTTTGAGAGAGAGAGAGAGAGAGAGTGAGCACAAGTGGGGGAGGAACAGAGAGAGGGAGAGAGAAAGAATCCCAAGCAGGCTCCGCACTGTCAGCACAGAGCCTGACATGGGGGTCAAACTCACGGACCGTGAGATCAGGACCTGAGCTGAAACCAGTAGTCGGAGGCTTAACCGACTGAGCCACCCAGGCGCCCTCCCTGTGGGTCATTCCTTAGGGAGTTGTATGCTGAGAAGTGCTTTCAAGATGGATTACAATGAAAAAAATGGAAAACCAGCCTAGATAAGAAAATCAGGCTGATGGTTAAATACGTTCGAGAATATCCGTACAATGGAGAATTATGAAGTCATCAAAATAACTCCAAAATATATTTAATGTATTTAATGTGCAGCAGGACACAAAACTGTCAACAGGATCTCTACTTTGCTACTAACTTTTTTGCATGGAATAAAAAGTGTTAGAAACACACCAAACTGTAACGGTGTTTATTTCTGGAAGCGTTTTATATTTTCTAAACCGTGAACATGTATTGTTTTACAAATTGGGGAGAAAATACTAGATAAGTAGTGCTTACATTTTTCAACATAAGAGAATACCTGTTGTTGGGGCGCCTGGGTGGCTCACTCGGTTGAGCGTCCGACTTCAGCTCAGGTCATGAGCTCACAGTTCGAGCCCTGCATCCGGCTCTCTGCTGTCAGTGCAGAGCCTGCTTGAGATCCTCTGTCCTCTCTCGCTGTCCCTCCCCTACTCGCACTCTCTCTCTTTCTCTCCCAAAAATAAATAAACATTAAAAAAAAGAGAGAGAGAGAGAAATACCTACTGGCTTGACATGTTCTTATTCAGCCCACCAGTCATTTTCAAACTGTCAAAATGGCAGAACCTATTCTTCAAGAGTAAAGTCTGGCACCCTCCTCGCCAGTGACAGTGACAGGGAGTTGCCCTGGACTGCAGCCTCCAGCCCTCCTCAGGGCTCAGGTTGAAGACCACAGCTCCATGCCCCACTGGAGATGCAGGGGGTTCCCCATTCGAATAAGGTGGGGGTTAGGCTTGAGGATTCACACCATGAAATCACCCAGTCTCAGTCAGGGTGGCCACAGCCCTGAGGGAGGGACATGCAAGGTTGGATGAGCCCCAGTTGCCTGGGAAGAGTGTGCCCTAAGCATTGGGCCGCCTTCCAGAAGCTTCCCCTGAGTGTCCTTGCCTTTCATCGGTAGTTAGAGGCGGTTCTTTAGACAAAGGGGTGGCCCTGAGCTCTCTCTCGAGACTTGGTCTCCGCTACAACATAAAGCCTCATCACTTCTTCCTCGGCCGCTCCTGAAGCCCGGCTGGTGATGGGAAGCCCCCACTCCCACCCTTCACACTGGGGGTCTCCATTCACAGGAAGGAAAGCCAGACTCTGGAGAACAACTTCCAAGAAATTCTATTTTTGATTGAACAAATAGATGTTCTGAAGGCTTTGCTTAGAGATACGCGAGATGGTCTGCACAACTACAGCGGGGACACGGACGGAGGCGAGGACCGGAACCCCATGGGGGCCATCGACGAGGTGAGGGAGGCTTGCGGGGGGTCACATTCACGGCTTCTCGGCGCAGAAAGATCGAGTGCAAGCTGTTATGTGGCTTGTGTCCTCCTCTCTAACCTTCTCCCTGACAGCAGCTTACCTCAGGAAAGCTTGCCGCGCACACCCAATTTTTCATCACTGCTGAATCGCAGAGAAGACTGTAGCAATATGACTGACTTCCCGCCAAAATAAATGACTGATTCTGTTTTATTTTCCAGGAAAGCAAACAGAAGATCATTCAGAAGTGGCAGCCTCTGATGTCTATACACACGTACTTAAAGAACAAAGCATTTTGGGGGTGCCTGGGTGGCTCAGTCAGTTAAGCGTCTGACTCTTGATTTCAGCTCAGGTCATGATCTCATGGTTGGTGGGGTTGCGCCCCATGTTGGGTACTGATAAGGTCAAGTGCACCTGATTCAGGTCCATAAATAAAAATATTATACATTTTTTTGTTTATTTATTTTGAGAGAAAGGAAAAGAGCATGAGCAAAAAGGGTGGAGAGAGAGAGAGAGAAAGAGAGAGAATCCTAAGTAGGCTCCACACTGTCAGCACAGAGCCTGACATGGGGCTCAAACTCACAAACTGTGAGATCATGACCTGAGCTGAAATCAAGAGTCGGACACTCAACTGACTGAGCTACCCAGGTGGCCCTATTTTTAAAAGTATATTTTTAAGTTTATTTATCTATTTATTTTGAGAGAGACAGCATGGGCAGAGAGGGAGGGAGAGGGAATGATGTCTACTTGCTGAAGCACCCGGAAACCTCACCCTGACACCTGCTGTCTTCCAGACCCTATTTTGTCATGGCCCTGGGACAAGGGCTTCCATCAGTCACAGCTTGAAGGGTGGGGCTTCTGCTTTTTGAGAATCAGAATGCCCTTAAGAAACCAATATATTTTTTTAAGTTTATTTATTTATTTTGAGAGAGAGAGAAGGAGGGAAAGGGGGCGTGGTGCAGAGAAATCCAAGCAGGCTCTGTGCTGTGATTGCAGAGGCTGACATGGGGCTCGATCCCATGACCTGTGAGATCATGACCTGAGGTGAAATCAGTGGTCTTCTTGCGTAACCAAGAGTCCTATATTAACTCAAAGGATGGATACTTTCTAACAAGCAGTCACGTGCTCTCTGTCAACTGCCTTGATTCCTGAATACTTACAGAATGTTCAAGTCTTTATTACTAAATGAGACCTGAATGATGGGGGGCGGGGTGGGGATCACAGTACGACAGGCAGTCGCTGGGGCTTCCAAAGGGGCCTTCGGTCCAACCTTGCTGGGACTTGGAGGGTGTCTGGACACATGTCAGCTGCCCCGGGGAGTGGCGATCCCACAGAGCCATGAAGGCCATTAGAAATCTGTGCACAGTGCTTGGATGTGTGCAGCTCAGTAGATGTTCACTGTTATTGTTATTTGGCAGATGATGGCACGCAGGTCCAAATCGACAAAGTGAATTGTCAAAACTCAAACACTTGGCTGCGATTAACAGAAACCCCTTTTTAATATTTGTACAGGAAATGTCAAACTTGGTGAATTCCATCCTTAAAAAGTTGAGAGAAGACCAAGTCCAGATGGCTGACTATGCCCTTAAGTCAGCAGGTGAGTAAAAACTGGAAAAAGTTCATGCTTCCCAAGGGTCTCGATTCTCCATATGTGTTTATTAAGAAAACATAGTTATCTGTCCAGTAATTGAGAAGGAGGAAAAATGAGCAAATCTAGACAATGAGGCAGACTATAGACATGGTTGTAGTTGATGTTTTCTGGGTGCACATCTCGGAGGCAGCAAAGGTGTGCGTCTTCATTAGCATGAGTCCAGGACCATGAAGGAAGCTGACGTGGCACAGTGAGGTTGGGGATGCAGAAAATAGAACAGGTGACACAATCATTACAACCTACAATGACTGCTAATGACTAATCTAAATGCATTATTCGTGATTGAATAATCGTGGTGAAAGACAGGATGTGTTCTAAATGTCTTGCCATTAATAAAATTAATGCTTAAGTGCTTAGAGTTTAGACCATGAACCTTAATATTCTCTACCTGCCTGTGATAGCCTATAAACAATGTGTTCAGTGAACCATGTGGAAAGAGAGAAAGAGGGAGAAAGTGTAAAGCACACGCAGTCACACTGGTATTTACCAACTGACAAAGCCAGATTTATAGTGGGGCAATAAATCTGTATCCTGTATCGAGTTGACAGCATTTGGACTAGAATGATTATACAGTGTGTGTGTGTGTGTGTGTGTGTGTGTGTGTGTGTGTTGAAAGAGACAGAGCAAGAGAAGAGACTTGCTGAACCTGAGTTTCCCGAAGTTTGGGGAGAATCAGCATTGAGATAAAGCATAGGAAGGTGAACTGCAGAATCCTTTTTTTTTTTTTTTTTTTTTTCAGTATTGGCATTTGGAAACACCATTCTTATGCTTTCTTTCCCCTTCCCTATTGAATGTATTTACGGCTTCCATTTTGAAGAATTCATGATGACAAGTGTAAGTCCAGGGATAACCACTAGAGTAAGGGAAAGCAGAAAATGGTCATGGTTTCTCAATAAATGTGAGACACGATACCAGCTTCTTGAGCCAAGATGGAGGGAGCCCATGCCAGCTTCTCATCCCCCCACCTCCTCCACCAACTGATTACATACGACTAAAAGTTTTGGACAAAATATAAAAAGCAACTACCCAAGCCTGATGAAAAGTGAACAAAAGCAGGCAGATTGTGGAGGGCAATGAAAAACCCGGAAGTGACCCACGTGGGGGTGAGTTACACGTTTATGTATTAGAAGGGTCAATTCATTTAAGATGGCAATTCTCGCTAACTGGTCTATTGACTCAATCCCAGCAGAATTGTCTATACAAATCTACAAGTTGTTTCTAAAATGTATGTGGAATCACAGAGGAACCAGAATAGCCAAAACAGTTTTGAAAATGAAGAACAGGGGAGCCTGGGAGGTTCATTCAGTTAAGCGTCTGACTTCGGCTTGGGTCATGATCTCGTGGTTTGTGAGTTCAAGCCCCGCATGGGGCTCTCTGCTGTCAGCTTGGAGCCTGCTTCAGATCCTCTGACTCTCTCTCTCTGCACTTCCCCACTTGTGCTCTCTCTGTCTCTCAAAATAAATATAAAAAAAAAAAAGAAAAGGAAGAACAAAGTATGAGGATTGACATTCTCTGATGTTCAGGCTTATTACAGAGCTACAGTAATTAACAGAGTGTGGTCTTGCTGAAATCAGTGGAACAGAATAGCGAGTCCAGAAATAGTCCCACACATAGAGGGCAAGTTGATTTTTGGCAAAGGAGAAAAGGCAAGTTAATGGTGCTGGAGAAGTGAGACATTTTCAGCAAATAAATCTCGACTCATCACTTACACCTTACAAAAATTAACTCAAAATGGGAGACTGACCTAAATGTAAAGTTTAAAGCTATAAAACTTCTAAAAGAAAGATCCTTGTGACTAAGTTCAGAAAAGATTTCTTTTTTAAAATGTGTATTTATTTATGGGGCGCCTAGGTGGCTCAGTGGGTTAAGTGTCCAACTTCGGCTCAGGTCATGATCTCACGGTTCGTGGGTTCGAGCCCCACGTCCGGCTGTGTGCTGACAGCTCGGAGCCTGGAGCCTGCCTCGGATTCTGTGTCTCCCTCTCTCTCTGCCCCTCCCCTGCCCATGCTCTGTCTCTCTGTCTCTGTCTCTCAAAAATAAATAAACATTAAAAAAATTTTTTTAAAAATTAAATGTTTATTTATTTGGGGAAGGGGAGGAGCAGAGAGAGAGGAAGAGAATCCCAAGCAGGCTCTGTGCCGTCAGCAAAAAGCCTGACACGGGGCTTGATCTCACGAACTGTGAGATCTTGACCTGAGCCAAAATTAAGAGTTGGGCTCTCAACCGACTGAGCCACCCAGGTGCCCCTGACTGAAATGTTCTAATATTGATTGTGGTCATGGTTGTACAACTCTGTGAATATTCGAAAAACCACCCACTTGTGCTCTTGAAATGGGTGAATAATGTAGTATGTGGATTTTATCTCAATAAAGCTGATTAGAAATTTAAAAATAAATGAATGAAAAAGTGAATACATATACATCCTTAAAAAAAAAAACAACTATATACGTGGGGCGCCTGGCTGGCTCAGTCAGTAGAGTGTTTGACATTTGATCTCAGGGTTGTGAGATCTCAGGGTTGTGAGTTCAAGCCCCTTGTTCGGTGTAGAGATTACTTAAAAATAAGATCTTAAAAAAAAAAATTGATCAAGAAAACCTGCTTAGGGGCACCTGTGTGGCTTGGTAGGTTAAGCATCTGACTCTTGATTTTGGCCAGGCCATGATCTCATGGTTCATGGGATCAAACCCCATGTAGGGCTCTGTGCTGATATCCTGGAGCCTACTTGGGATTCTCCCTCTCTCTCTCTCTCTATCTCTCTCTCTCTCTCTCTGTCTCTCTCTCAAAATAAATAAAATTTTAAAAAATCTTAAAAGAAAACAAAACCTGCTTAGTATAAAAAAAAAAAAAAAGGATGCCCAGTTACATGTGAATTTCAGGCAAACAGCGACTAACTTTTAAGTATAAGTATCTCCCATATATTGTATGGGACACGCTCATACTAAAAAATTGCTTATTTTTTTATCTGAAATTCAAATTTAACTGGGAGTCTTGTATTTTTACTTGCTAAATCTGGCAACCTTAGGTGCACAGTAACTATTTCAGATTCTGCCATCTCAGAAAAAATACTGGCAATTGGATACTCAGTCAGGTACATGCATTTTTAGCTTTGTATTGTGATATCCACATACAGCTTGAGGAAACGATTTGCATTTTCTTAATTTCTTGTGTCTAAACTACATTTTGCTTCTAAACTGAAATACCCTGAAGGGATAACATTCGACGAGTATACTTTTGGATTTTTTCGGTTAAAACTAAAGCTCAGTGAATCTACAGAATTGCTCTTATGAACATAACTTGTGGATACATTTATAACGTTGGGTTTTATGCTTTTTTTCAAGTAGATTGGGCTGACATAAAGTCTCATCACACGAGCTGTGAAAATATGGGGGTCCATATGTCTAAGTAATAAACGCTATGCACATGATATTTCCACCTCTGATGCAACTGCTCTGGAATTCAGTTAATACCAGTTTCAGAAGTTTTGTGAAATTACACGGAACAAACATGATTTTCTCAAAGTGACAACATCTCAGCAGTAATGAGAGCCAGAAGTCATACTTTCCCAGCCAGTTCCCGAGTGTGAACCTTAACTTACTTGTAATCTGCCTGGGAATACTTTGCTAACAACATTATTAAAATACAAATGACCGGGGTGGGGGGTGGCTCAGTCGGTTAAGCTTCCAACTCTTGGTTTCAGCTCAGGTTATGATCTCACGGTTTGTGGGTTCGAGCCCCACATAGGGCTCTGTGCTAACAGTGTGGTGCCTGATGGGGATTCTGTCTCCCTCTGTCTCTGCCCCTCTCCTGCTAGCTCTCTATCAAAAATAAATAAATAAACATTTAAAAAATGTTATTTCTATATACATATGTATACAGTTATATATTTGTATATGTATGCATATGTATGCATATGTATGTATATAAATGACTGGGGTGCCTTGGTGGCTCGGTTGGACATCTGACTCTTAATTTCACTTCAGGTCATGATCTCATGTTTCGTAATTCATGGTATCGGTTCCCATGTTGGGTTCTGTGCTGGCGACTTGGGATTCTCTGTCCCTCTGTGCCCCCCTCTCTTTCTAAAAATAAATAAATATCTCTTAAAAATAAAATAAATAAAATGCAAGTGATGTGTTTGGGGTTGCATAATGTTTTATTTTTTTAATTATTTTATTTTTTTAGGGGCCTCTGTCATTGAAGCTGGGACCTCCGAAAGTTACAAAAATAACAAAGCAAAACTTTACTGGCATGGGATCGCGTTCTTAACCTATGAAATGCCCCCAGATGTTATTCTTCAGGTAAAAGCTAGACTAAGAGGAATGTATTATTTTAGGGTTTTGTTCTTATTATGTATCATGACAATATTAACACCGAAACGGAGGCCACTCTGAACTTGTCACAGAATCTGAACCCATCCTCTTGCATTTCAATAGTCATCAAACTATATAAATTTTTTCTTATTGTATGAACAGTAAATTATGATTGACTAATTATTAGTTGTTTTTATTATTTTAAGATCAGTAGACTAGATGATTTGACTTCTTAAATAGGACATAGACATTCCATGTCTTTTCCTTACCTTGATTCTGTGCCCCACCCCCCTTTTCTTTGAAAGCTTCAGTCTTCGAACAAATACCTGCTCAAGGTGCATGTGCCCTCAGCTCCCACACTGTGCTACATGCTGCTCAGGCCAATGCATTCTTACAAAAACAGTTACAACAGGAGAAATTTCCAAATAAGATTTCCGCTAACATTCAAGTTCAATTCAAAAGGCTCTGGACAGACATCAACAGATGGTGGGGCTCTTCTTAACTATAACCTACAAACCTAAAGTCAGTTCTCAAGGTAGGAAGCCCTTCAGGAGCAATCGTATGGATCTCATTCCAGACTCTAGATCTAGAAAGTGGTAGATGTCATTTTTCTTTCTTACAACGACTGCCGTCTCCATCGCCACCACCATCATATCTTTACCACCCATGCCAACTCGCCGCCTCCTAGCTGCCCACAGTCTAATTAGAGCAACAAAAGAAAACACCGTAAATCAATTATCTAATCATATAGTATATAATCCTGCAGTAAAGGGCTTTGTTTGCCATAAACATAATGTGCTCTGGAAGAACAACCGAACTCATAGGTATCTTGGCAGTTTTCCTGCGTGATATGTACCCATTAAACGCCTTCATGTTATGGGCGTACGTGAGATCTGTGGTCAATAGTGGTTTGCTGACCAATACTGCAGCGGTGGATTTATACAGCCACATAAGAGATTAACTCCATGTTTTCTTTCCAGCCGGATGTCCATCCTGGAAAGTGCTGGGCCTTCCCAGGTTCCCAGGGTCACGCCCTGATCCAGCTCGCCAGGAAGATCACACCTACTGCTGTTACCGTGGAGCACATCTCCCAGAAGGTGTCTCCCTCAGGAAACATCTCCAGCGCACCCAAGGAATTTTCCGTCTATGTGAGAGGCAATCAAAATCGGTGTTCCGAGGGGTTATGGTAGGAGGGGGTGGCTGGGAATCAGACGCTGGGATGAGCAGCTAACCGTTTTTATCACTGTGAGAGAGTTACTTGTTCCCTGGACCTCTGCTCTGCCATCGACAAGGCAAGGGTTGGACCAGATACGTTCTATTACTTAATTTTTTTTGCTTTTATCAAAGCTATCTGTGCACAATTTAAAAATGAACATTCTTATATGCTTATAATTCAGCACTTTCTTGTGCCAGGGCTCTCACCCCAGGTTTCTACTCTCTGGAAGCTTCTGCTTGCGACAGTTTTAGCCACTCCTTTGGCTACTTGCCTTCATATCTGTTTTTATTGTTACTTCTTTTTAAAAATTTTTTCTTTAATGTATGTTTATTTTTGAGAGAGACAGAGACAGAGCATGGGCGGGGGAGGGGCAGAGACAGAGAGAAATACACAGAATCTGAAACAGGCTCCAGGCTCTGAGCTGTCAGCACAGAGCCCGATTCGGGGCTCTAACTCAGGAACAGTGAGACCATGACCTGAGCTGAAGTCTGATGCTTAACTGACTGAGCCACCCAGGCGCCCCTGTTACTTCTTTATTTTTAAGTTTATTTATTTATTTTGAGAGAGAGAGATAAAGCACATGTGGGGGAGAGGCAGAGGGAGAGGGGAGAGAGAGAGAATCCCAAGCAGGCTCCACACTGTCAGCACAGAGCCCGATGCAGGGCTGGATATCATGAACCGCGAGATCACGACCTGAGCTGAAATCAGACACTTTAATAGACTGAGCCACCCAGGCACCCCTACATTCCCTTTTTGAAAAGTAATCTCTTAGGAATGCAAGCTGGTGCAGCCACTCTGGAAAACAGTATGGAGGTTCCTCAAAAAACTAAAAATAGAACTACCCTACGACCCAGCAATTGCACCACTAGGCATTTATCCACGGGATATAGGTGTGCTGTTTCAAAGGGACACATGCACTCCCATGTTTATAGCAGCACTATCAACAATAGCCAAAGTATGGAAAGAGCCCAAATGTCCCTCAATGGATGAGTGGATAAAGAAAATGTGGTATATATATATACAATGGAGTATTACTTGGCAATCAAAAAGAATGAAATCTTGCCATTTACAACTACGTGGATGGAACAGGCGGGTATTATGCTAAGTGAAATGAGTCAGTCAGAGAAAGACAAAAATCATATGACTTCACTCATATGAGGACGTTAAGAGACAAAACAGATGAACATGAGGGAAGGGAAACAAAAATAACATAAAAACAGGGAGGGGGACAAAACGTAAGAGACTTAAATATGGAGAACAAACAGGGGGTTACTGGAGGGGTTGTGGGAGAGGGGATGGGCTAAATGGGTAAGGGGCACTAAGGAATCTACTCCTGAAATCATTGTTGCACTAGATGCTAACTAATTTGGATGTAAATTTTTAAAAATAATAAAATAAAATAAAAGATATGTATATATATATACATATATATACACACACACACACATACATACATACATACATACACACACACACAATGGAGTATTACTCAGAAATTTTAAAAAAAGGTACTCTCTATACCTAATGTGGGGGCTTGAAATCACCACCCCCAAAATCCAGAATCACACTCTCCTCCCACTGAGCCTGCCAGGTGTCCCTACTTCTACTTCTTGATCTTTCAGTTTTGCTTGTAACCCATTGGTATCCTTTGATGAAAAATGAAGAGTAGCCTCTTCCGTGGCTCTCCCAATCTCTCCAAAGTTTTATGTCTTACTTTTTTATAAAAAAACAAAACAAAAAAACAAAAACAAGTGTATTGAGATGTAATTCACACGTGAGCAATTCAAATACATAAAATGTACACTTAAGTGGCTTGTGGTATATTCACAGAGTTGAGGATGCATCCCTACCATCAATTTTAGAACATGTTTAAAAAATGTTTATTTCTTTTGAGAGCTCGAGTCAGGGGAAGGGCAGAAAGAGAGAGAGAGAGAGAGAGAATCCTAAGCGCTATTAGCACAGAGTCTGATGTGGGGCTTGATCTCACGAATTGTGAGATCATGACCTGAGCCAAAATCTAGAGTCAGACGCTCAAAAACTGAGCCACCCAGGCGCCCCTGGAACATTTTTGTTGCTCCCGACAGAAAACGTGCACTCGTTAGCTGTCACCTCTCATCTTTCGTCTGTCACTCCCCGCCACCACTGACCTACTTAGTCTCTGTAGAGTCACTCATTCTGGATATTTCCTATAAATGAAATCATAGAACATGTGGTCCTTCGCGAATGGCTCCTCCCACTTGGGATCATGTATTCAAGGTTCATCTGTGTCATAACATGTCAGCACTTTATTTTTTCAATTGTTGAGTAATAACTACTTCGCTAGGTGGATAGACCACGTTTTACGTATCCATTTGTCAGATGATGGGCGTTGGTTTTGCTTCCACTTTTTTGACTGTGATGAATAATGCTGCTGGGAACGTTTGTGTACGAGTCTTTGTGTGGACACTGGTTTTCTTTTCACTCGGAACTGTACCTGGAAGTGGAATTACTAGATCACATGGTAAACCTGCATTTCATGTTCAAGATGCTGCCAGATGGTATCTCTTACTTTCAATCGGTATGCAGTGTTTTCGCTGTAACCGTGTCAGTGATGTTCTCATTTGAGCCATATCGTATACGAGTTTCTTTGTGTGAGAGTTTTGATGTTCCTGAGGACAACAAACGTCTCTTTTTAATTCACTTTGCTTGAGGCACCTGGCTGGCTCAGTCGGTTAAGCATCCGACTCTTGGTTTCAGCTCAGGTCATGATCTCGAGGTTCATGGGATCGAGCCCCACGTCGGGCTCTGTGCTGATAGTGCAGAGCCTGTTTGGGATTCTCTCTCTCCCCCTCTCTCTCTGCCCCCCCCCCCGCTCTCTCTCTCTCTCAAAATAAGTAAATAAACTTAAAAAATAATTTGCTTACTTTTCTATATCCCTATCACAAAAACATTCATTATCTCTTTTTCAGGAGTGTCAAAATCCTGCCATTATGTTCCTTCATGTCAGACAGTTTCTAAGTTTCTTCTTTATTTTACTTTTTAAAAATGTCCTTCTTGTCCGCATTGCCCCCTCTTATCTGATCTGCATGAACTTCATCTCTGCATCCTGGGGATTCAACATAATCACCTCTTCTATTATTTAAAAAAAAAAATCTTTTCTCTCTGATTCTCCTTTGTTTCTTTGCTCCATCTTCTGAAAGATTTTGCCAACTTATATCTTAACCCATTTGTTGAATTCTTCATTTCTGCTGTCATGATTATTCCAAGACTTTTTCTTTTTTCTGTAAATAACTCCCGTCTTTAGAGTCTAAATGTCTTCATGGATACAGTATGTTCAGTTTTGGAAGATATTAATGGAATTCGTTTCAGTTCTGTAGTGTTTTCTTCTGTTCCCTCCCCTGTCTTTATCCCCAAATACCACTTTTCCTATTTGTTGAAAGTGGCTCTTCTCTCATGTCTGGTGATGCTTTTCTGTCGCATTTCAGAGACAAAGGGTGAAAAGCTAGCTCAAAGCTCTGCACACTTCGTGTGTGAGCTTCTTGGGTGGGTGGTCTGCTTGGGCTGTTTCTTCCGATGCCCCCAGTGTGATACAGGGTTAGGTTGACCCTCAAGGAATCCCACAACCTTGTTGCGTGGGGATTTCAGCGTGACCAGCCACACGCTGTGAGAACAGGTGCATGGTACCCTCCCCCCACCACTGCAGCCCCCTCCCAGCCCCCACCCCAATGACCCCATCTCTGCCCTTTCTGGATACTTGCAATGACAGTATCGACATGCTGTTGGTCCCGCTACACACAGGGTAATCCATGCTTTCTCCAGGCCACTCCACCAGTCACCAGGTGGCTATCTGCAGACTTCTTGTCTTAGTGCCTGTTCCCAGGTGTTCCCTGTTGGTTTATGCCTTTCTTTTTTTTAAGCCTTTAAGAAAATTTTTTTAAGTTGATTTATTTTAAGAGAGAGTGTGAGTGGGGAAGGGGCAGAGAGAAGGGGGGACAGAGGATCTGAAGCAGGCACAGAGCCCGACACGGGGCTCGAACCCACAAACCATGAGATCACAACCTGAGTCGAAGGCAGACACTTAACCAACTGAGCCACCAGGTGCCCAATTTGTGCCTTTCTTCAGCTCCCCGGTGACCCCATCTGGAGGGGGTCTCACAGTTAAAACATGGGCGCCCGGCCTGCTCTGTGCACCATTGGAACGCCTGTAAATGCCATGATTCTGGGGTCACAGGACAGAACAGAAGCTGCTCCCCTTTGACGCAGAGCCTGCTGACACCTACAGCTGACTTAGGTTGGATCTGAGCGGGTCAAACCCCACCTCAGAGAGGCGCACTCGGTTGCTCATTACAGATGAATTATGGGTAGCCCGTCAGGCAATAAAAACCACTTCTCATCCTTTTTCTCTTCTCTTAGCAAATTTATGAAGCAGTGAAATTAAAGCAGTGATAAACAAGGCGGCAATGAAACTCACACACCTCCCTTAACAGGATAAACTACAACTGGCCCCCCGCCCCCAGCAGTGGTGATGTTTGACCAGCCAAAAACTTAACTACTAACAGCCTATGGTGACCAGAAGTTTTATAATACCATATACGGTCGATGAACACATAGTTTGTATGTTACATACATTATACGCTGTATTCCTCCAAGGAAGGAAGCTGGAGAGGAGAAAATGTTATGAAGAAACTCACAAAAAGGGGCGCCTGGGTGGCTCAGTCGGTGAAGCATCTGACTTTGGCTCAGGTGATGATCTCGAGGTTCGTGAGTTTGAACCCCACGTCAGGCTCACTGCTATCAGCACAGAGCCACTTCAGATCCTCTGTCCTCCTCTCTCTGTCCCTCCCCCACTTGCTCTCTTTCTCTCTCAAAAATAAATGAACATTAAAAAAGCAGAAAGTCAAAAGGAAGAGAAAAGACAGTTCTGTACTATGTTTACCAAAATAAATCCGTGTATATGTGGACCCACATGGTTGAACCCATGTTCTAGGGTCAGCTATGAATGAGGTTTGAGTTGTATGTACATATAATTGTGGCTGCATTGTTTAATCATGGTGTAGCCAATTCTTTTAATAAAATTATAATGGGGCACCTGGCTGGCTCAGTCAGTGGAGTGTATGACTCTTGATCCCGAGGTCATGGGTTCAAATCCCATGTCAGGTATAGAGCTGACATGTTTAAAAAATTGTGATAAAGTTTACATATCAAAGTTACATAGCATATAATTTTCATTATAAAACGGTTGAACTAATGGACCCTTCGTGCATTGTGTTTCCATGATTTGGGGAAACTAATGACAAAGTTTAGATTCACAAAATTAATTTCCACCAGGCTGTCTCCTCTCAAAAAACTTCCATTTTGAAGGGTAGAGAAGGAAGGAAAAAGCCCAAGGGAAATAGCATACAAATAACACTATTTTCTTTCAGTCAACAAAAGCTTACTTTTTGGAGTTACTTGGCTTGTCTGAGTCTGGCAATTGGGTTAAATTTCGCTCATTTTGGAAAACATTGGGTCAGCATGGGAACTTATCTTGTGTTTCCTTCATTCAAAGTATGCCAACAGCAAATTCAGTTATTAGACCAGAGTTAATGCTTGGATTTGCTCTGGTTCTCTGTCTCTATCATCTATCATCTATTTATCCACCATCTATCATTTACTTATCTATCATCTACGTATTGGTCAATCTGTCTATAGATAGATACTATTTATTTATCGTCTATTTATCATCTATCATCTACTTATCTATCTATCATCTGTCTATCAATCATCTACCTATTGGTCGATCTATCTATCCATCTATCATCTACTTATCTATCTATCTATCATCTTGGATGTTGGTTGATCTGTTATCTATCCAACTATTATCTATCTATTGATCAATCAATCGTTTTATCAATTGATCTACCTATCGTCTATATGTCCAGTCAGCCCTGTGGTCAACCCGCTTCTTGCCTCACAAGCCCCCCAGTTAAATGCCTTTTGGGTTTATAGGGCAGCACTGGCACCTAGCACAGCACCGCGCCCTGGTAGACACCCAAGGTGTCTCGTGAATTGTGGCTACTTGAACAGACAACAGGCTCCGTTTATTCAACTGAGCATCCATTCGTGACACGCCCCCACGTCTGTTGTTTCCTTTCACAGGGCATCTTGAAACACTGTGAGGGAGAAGAAATTCTCCTGGGTCGGTTTGTGTATAACAAAACAGGAACCACCATTCAAACATTCAAGCTCCAGGTAATGAGAGCCCCGGGAAAAGATGGGGTATGAGGAGCTCCATCCCCAGAATGGGTTTGTGGGGTTGATGCAAAGTGCTGTGAGAGGATAATTATGACAAAAGTGTGAGCTAAGGAAGGCTTAGCTGAACTTTAATTTGTAGCTCCAAGTGCTACATGGATTTTTTTAAATTATTTTTTTAAGTTTATGTATTTTTGAGAAAGAGACAGAGAGAGTGAGCAGGGTGGGGCACAGAGAGAGAGGGAGGGAGAGAGAGAGTCCCAAGCAGGCTCTGCACTGTGAGCACAGAGCCCAATGTGGGGCTTGAACTCACAGACTGTGAGATCATGACCTGAGCTGAAACCAAGAGTCGGACACTTAACCGACTGAGCCCCCCAGGCGCCCCATGCTACGTGGATTTTAATGCAAAACACCACACAAGTACCCGAACGTGTTCTAAGCCGGATTCTTCCTTATTTGCTACTCCCCCCTTTTTTTTTACTATAATTATTTTCTCACTCCTTCTCTTACCTCTTGGGCTCCCTTGATAGTATGTTATCTCCCATTGGGTAAAGGGGATAGAGATGGGTGTAGGGAGACAGGAACTCAGGAAGAGAGAATAAATACTTCTATCACACAGAGTGAGTGATACCTCTCTTCCTAACTCAAGGGGGAGGAAATGCCACCTGGTAAGATATAAACCCCCTGAAAGCCATTAAGGTATATGAAATATATTTTCGTTATTTCTCATCAGCCACAGGAAGACTTAAGACGGAATCGCCTACCGTGTCAAAATAAGTGTGCTGCGTACGATACCTCTCGGCCAACGCTGAGATAATCTAAGTTGAAAACACTATATGTGTCAGAAACGAAGGACACAGTGGGGTTTCCTATTTGATTGTTTAGCCGTGTCTCCCGTTCCCACACGGGGACCCCGTGGGATGGGCAGAGGCATTTGATGTCCAGACCACCACATTATCTCCTCCTCTCTCACCCTTCTTATGAGCCCTGTACTTAAAGGAACTTGTTTTCCCATCCATTAGACTGGTGTCTCATAAAATACTGTTTAGGAAGGAAAGAAAGCGTCCACAAATTCTCCATTAGATCTGCATACCTTGGGATTCTTTGAGATGGTTTTCTTTATAAGGCATTGATTTGTATCTTCTCTTTATTTTCAGCACGAAGTTTCCGAACCTTTATTATGTGTGAAACTTAAAATCCTCAGCAACTGGGGTCACCCGAAGTACACGTGTTTGTATAGGTTCAGGGTCCACGGCACCCCAGGAGAGTACCCCTAGAGGAAGCCAGGCAGACGGCCGTGACCACAGGTCCAGAATATGTGACTCGTCTTACTTCCTTAGATTCATCGCATCCATAGGCATCAAAATGGGGGTGGGAGGGGAACCTCAAAGTGGTTCATACCTGCCCAGAAAATGTGAATGAGTTTTACTTGTAAAAAATACAAAAATAAATTCAATCTTCTTGTGGTAGTGTAGCTTTTGAGGATGCATCATGTGGAAGCACTGAAAATAAGTATGTATTTGGAAGAAGCTGGTATTAGTCAATAGTCTCCATTATTCATACAAGCATAAGCATACGAGCCACGGGTACGCACCGTCACGGCTATGAAGTATATGTATATTTAAAAGTGATCGGACAGTGACTGCAGGCACTGGGTCAATGCAACCAGGTAAGCAGAAGAAATTAGAGGCAAAAATTAGAGAAAAAGTCTGTCCCTGACTATTTGCAGACGGCTTGATGAATTCCTTGAAATGAAGTGAAGCCAATTAAGGAATACATTACAAACGAGGAAGAAGCTGCAGGAAGTTAGTAGATACAAAATTATATAAATCGACATCAGGGCCCCTGGGTGGCTCAGTCTGTTAAGTGTCCAACTCTTGATCTCGGCTCAGGTCAGGTCATGATCTCGCGGTTGGAGAGTTTGAGGCCCCATATTAGGCTCTGCGCTGACAGTGTGGAGCCTGCTGGGGATTCTCTCTCTCTCTCTGCCCCTCCTCCTCCTCTAAAATTTAAATTAAACAAACAAACAAACAAATATTTACAGATGAAATGATATATTTGGGGTATGTTTAAAAATTATATACAAGGAGGACATGCGTCAGGGGGGTCAATGAAGAAGATTGGCCGTAAACAATCGTTGAAGTTGAGTGCTGGCCTATGAGGGTCCACTCACACTATTCTGCCTACATGTAGCACCTGTATTGGATATTTTCAATTTTAAAAAGTTAAAAAAAAAAATTACAAGACATATATACCTAAGAAACCGAAAGAGTTGTGCTTTGAACCAAATTGATTCTGAGGTTCAAATGGAAATATAAACACATTAGGAAGCCAGGAACCCTCTGAAAGAATCAACAGAGGGAAATAACTCTATGATACTGTGATTTATAATAAGAAAGATACATTTGGCCTTTGTCTGCATTTCTGGCTCTGGGCTCCTAAAACGCTGGCAATTTATGAGAGCATCAGGGTGTCTCTTATTAGGCCAATGAGGTGACCTGGGCTGGTGGGGGAGGCACCTAAGAACCATAAAACACCCTGGTTGCCAGGGGAACCAACCAGGATTTGTGGTTTGGAACCTTCGGCCCCACCCCTAACCTTCCAGTAAAGGGAGAGGGACTAGAGATGGAACTCAATCATTTGTGGCCAATGATTAAATCACGTGTGCTCACATACTAAAACTTGTGCAAGAACCCAAAAGGATGGGGTTCGAAGAGCTTCCGGGTTGGTGAGCGCAGAGATTTGGGGGTTAGTTGTGCCCTGGGGAGGTATGGAAGCTCCATGCCCTCCCCCCAGTGGTCGCTCTGGGCAACTCTCCCGTCTGGCTGTTTCTGAGTTCTGTCCTTTTATTTATTTATTTTTTTTTATTTTTTTAACGTTTTATTTATTTTTGAGACAGGGAGAGACAGAGCATGAACAGGGGAGGGTCAGAGAGAGGGAGACACAGAATCTGAAACAGGCTCCAGGCTCTGAGCTGTCAGCACAGAGCCCTACGCGGGGCTCAAACTCACAGACCGTGAGATCATGACCTGAGCCGAAGTCGGCCGCTTAACCGACTGAGCCACCCAGGCACCCCAGTTCTGTCCTTTTATAATAGACCGGTGATCCAGTAAGTAAAGTGTTTCTCACTCCTCTGACCCACTCCAGCAAGTTAACTGAACCCAAGAAGAGGGGGGCATGAGCCAGGAGCACAGGTGACACCTGGGCATCTGTAGCAGGGGTGGGGGGAGAGGCAGCCTTGTGGGACCCAGCCCTCAGCCTGCGGTTCGGACGCCGTCTCCAGGCAGACAGTGTCAGACTTGAGTTGAACTGTAGGACACTCCCCTGGTGTTGGAGAATTGCTTGGTGTGGAAGAAGAAAACCCCACACACTGGGATTGGCATTCCGGAATCGTTTAGGAGAGAGAGAGAGATGCTAAATAATGGTGTGGTACCAGAACATTGACAGACCCGTGGAACAGACAAGAAAGTCTTTCCGGTATGTCAGAAATGGATCCCTATCTGTGTGGGAACAGTGTATGTGATGCAGGCGGCATCTCAAAAGGGGATGGAAGAAACAAGACTGCTGGGGCGGCCGGGTGGCTCAGTAGGTTAAGTGTCCGACTCTTGGTTTCGGCTCAGGCTGTGATCTCACGGTCCATGGGATCGAGCCCCGCATCCAGCTCTGCGCTGACAGTGTGGAGACTGCTTGGGATTCTCCCTCTCCTCTCTCTCTGCTCCTCCCCCTCTCGCTCTACCTCTCAAGAGAAAAAAGAAAAACAAGACCGGGCTTGGGGCAATTATCTGCTCATTAGGAAAATAAAGTTGCAATCATATCGCTCACTTTACAACATGAGGAACTCCAATGCGGTAAAAGATTAACAGGTGTAATTAAACCATAAAAATAAAACAAGAAACCCTGTGGTAATTCCTGCATGGCACTGGCTAGAGGAAGACCTTTCCAAGTATGATTCAAGCTTCAGAAGCCACAAAAGAAAAAAACATAAATTCCACTACATCCCAAACAACAACAACAAAAAACCTCTGCATGGCCAACAAAACCTTAAACAAAATAGGAAAAAAAGACTTGCCATTGATATCAGAAGGACTTACTTTCCCATATGTCAAGAGTCTCAAGAAGGCAACAATAATATCAATAGGTACAGAAATACAGCCCAAAAGTATGAACTGAGGGCTCACAGAAACACGTAAAAAGGTATTCAAATGTATTTGTTTTAAGAAAAATGGAAAAAGTGACATGGAACCTTGTTTCAGCAGTGAAATTAGAACAATTCAGAAGTTCAATCACACTTTAACGGAAAGGCTTTGGAAAAACAGGCTCCCACACATTGCTGGTGAAAACGTGAACAGGCACAACCATGATGCAGGGAACGTGGCAATATCTAGCAACATTACAGATGCGTATACCCTCTGACTCAACAAGATGTCATGTGCAAAAAAAAAAAAAAAAATACGTGTATATACATGTTTGTACCTAGAAAGTTATTCATCAGCAGTGTTTAGCAGGAGGATTCCCACGTGGGTGGGAGCAAAATGTCCCACTGCATAATATTTTGTTTTCAGATCATGGGAAAATATTACCTACTTAGACATCAAACCTTTTTTATGACATGATCTTTTGCTTTCTTACATAATGGTTGTAAAGGAAAAACTCATTTCTGCCGTGTTTCTCCTCTACTCTCACACGATGACCTGACCACTTTCTGACGCTGGATGTGGGCTTTTGTTCCCCCAACACCAAGCAAGTCTGTGACACCAGCTGGGCATCCTGTGGTTCAGCTCCGTTCAGACACTAACCAGAGCCTATGCAGATACCACAGGTTAAGGGCTCAGTCCCACCAGACTGTCTTCACCTGCGATGCCAAGTGGCAGGTCCCCAGGTTCCCCACAATATCTGTCCAACTTGGCTATGAATCGGAGGTTCTCATGACCACCTGTCCCGCCTTGGATTCAGTTATTTGCCAGAACACAGAACTGGGGGAAATACGTATATTTACCAGTTTATTATATAATAAAGAACAAGGATGAACAGCCAGACAAAGATACATAGGGTGAGGTCTGGAAGGGTCCCACATACGCAGGCTTCTGTCCCTGTGGAGTTGGGGTGTGCCACCCTCCCGGCACATGGATGTGTCCACCAATGCAGAAGCTCTCTGAACCCCATACTGTTGGGATTTTTTTTTTTAATTTTTTTTTAAGTTTACTTATTTATTTTGGGAAAGACAGAGGCAGTGTGAGCTGCAGAGGGGCAGAGAGAGAGAGAGAGAGAATCCCAAGCAGGCTCCGCACTGTTAGTGCAGAGCCCGACACAGGGCTCGAATTCACAAAAACCGTGAGATCGTGACCTGAGCCAAAATTGAGTCAGACAACTAGCAGACTGAGCCACCCAAGCGCCCCCTGTTGGGACTCTCAGGAGGCTTCATCACTTAGGCATGATCAATCATTAACTCCATGCCCAGCCCCCCTCCCCAGTCTGGAGAATAGGGGTGGGACTGAAAGTTCCAAGCTTAGGATCACGGTTTGGTCTTCTGGTGAGCAGCCCCTACATGGGGTGCACCAAGAGTCCCCTGATTAAATCAAAGGCGCTCTTATCACCCAGGAAATTCCCAGGGACTGACAAGCTCTGAGTTGGGAAATGGGGCCAAAGACCACGTTGTTAGAGCATTAAGATGCTGCTAGTGTTCTTGTCACTTAGGAAATGACAAGTGTCTTCTGAGCTGTATGCCAGAAGCCCCGGGGCGGACATATGTCCTGTCTTATCATTTCCCCGTGGCCCAGGGGGAAAGGTGGATATTAAATAAGTAAAGGGAGAATGAGAAACAGAAACAGAAGGAAGAACATTTTTAAAAGGACAAAATGTGGAAATGGGAAGTTGGGACACTTCTGGCACAAGAGACCTGGAACAGGGGTCCCCAGTGTGACCTGGCTCAGTGCTGGCTGGGCACATGAGGGAAGCCCGGCCCCGCAAGGCTTCTGAAAGCCACGGCCCCGCAAGGACACAAGGAGAGAAGACAGACGCTGGAGAGCTGGCCTGTGCCTTCCTGAGCACGAGGACGAAGACGGGTTGCGCTGGTGGCGGGATGTCGGCACCCAAGTCGGCACAGGAAAGGGAAGCTTCAGCGCAGTCCTATCTGGTCCCTCTCTTGAGCGCAGGGTCCGCGAACTGAGCCTCAGGGCCACGGGATGCTCCCACCTGCTCCCAGCTGTCGCCGTTTTTGCCAAACCAACGCACCTAAGGTAACCAGCCCGTTAGCCAAACAGCCTATGCTGTGGCCACGGCTCACATCCCCAATTCTCTGTAGTCCCCCATCTTTAAAATGGGGGTCATAGGGGCGCCCAGTTTACTCATTTAAGCATCTGACTCTTGGTTTCGGCTCAGGTCATGATC